TATATACAGGCGTACATGCATACATGAAGGAGTGAAGCAGGCGCTGTCAAGGTGTGGTGTGTGGGAACAGGTCGGAAGAAGGGTTATTGGCACTGCAGCCGTCGCCACCCACAATGGATACAATCAAAAGAAAAAGGCGGGGGCGCACTCCAATCGTTCACAGCACGACCACACTTGCAGACAGGAAACGAAACAAGAACGATAAATTAGAATCGTGGTGTCCGCACTTTACACCGCATCTGCTGCGCTGTTGTTCTGATGTTTAAGTCGCAGCTCCTCGTTCCACGCGTATATCTCCCGTCGCCGCTGTTCTCTACGCCTTATCGTACTTCCCATCAGCCGCTGTTGCGCAGTCTCCTTTCCGTTACTATTGTCTCTGCACGAAGACGCCAGCGACGCCGGTGGTCGCGCACTTAAACTTGACCGCGCGGTTTGACGCACCGGCGGCGCTTTCATCGGCAGCGGTGATGCCAACGGCTGCGACGACTTCTCACACGGCATGTTACCTGTGTGGACGTTGTTGTTGCCATCACTGCTGCTATGTTCGTTGTTATTCATACTACTACCACTATTACTACTACCGTGGCAGTGATTATCCGTCATAAGGTGACGGATATTCAGCGGGTCGGCGTGGTCCTCCGTGGACTCGTGCACCAGTGCAGGTGCAATTGGCGGGTCCTCCGTTGCAGCGGTGATGGACGACGCTGCTGCCGCTGCCACCGCACCACCGGTGCTGCCGGCCATGCTCGCTCTGCCACTGCCACGCGCTGACGTAACCTTCAACAGCTGCTCCTTCTGTTGATGTCGCTGAGGTTGCGGCTGGTGCGTTGCGCCCCTCTTCGATGGGCGGGAAAAGAGAAAAGACCTTCCACGCCTACTGCTGGAGCGGCGGCTCGGCACGTCTGGCACCTGCGTTAACGACTTGCTTCCTCCATCGCCATGCGGCACAGGTGGGGTGACGCTGCTCGGCTGCTGGCGCTGCTGCTGCTTCATGAGCCGCAGCAAGCACAGGCACCGCTACGCCTACTGCAACAGCACCACTAGACACACATGGAGAGAGGGAAGGAGAGAGAGAGAGAGAGAGGGGGGGAGGGAAGAAAGAAGGGGAAAAATAAAGAGAGATGATGCAGCCGTGGGACGGCATGCACAGCAAGAGTCATACGCAAATTCAGAAAGTACTAGAGGACTTCAAATGGTGGGTCAAGAGAGAGAGCGTGTGTGGGTGGGTGGGTGTGGCCGTACCGAAATGTTTACGGGGCACCGCCCCTGTCCCTTCGTTGTTCATATTATTTTCACCCTCTTTGTGTGTGTGTGGGTGTGTGTCTCCCTCCCTCTCTCTCCCTCCCACATACACACACACACACACACACGCTCACCGCATACCCGTCTCTCATGCATTTAATTTAATTCGAGTGCATTTGTGCGCAATCATGCGCGTGAGTGTGTGTGCATTTCTTACCGAAGGCGGAAATCCTGATNCATGCATTTAATTTAATTCGAGTGCATTTGTGCGCAATCATGCGCGTGAGTGTGTGTGCATTTCTTACCGAAGGCGGAAATCCTGATCGTAGTGACTGGACTGCAGCTCTCCGTCGAACTCCACGTGGAGGGCGATGTCGAGATCGCGCGGGTTGCCGGTGTTGGGGCAGCAGCGCATGCGGAACTTGGCGTGTTCGCCCTTCTTCATGCGCAGCGGGTTGTGCAGGTACAGAACCGTCTGCCGCCAGTGCGTCGGCGCCGTCAGGGGCGTCGTGCTGAGCACCACCGCCTCGTGGCCGGCGGTGAAGGGCGTGTCGAAGTGCACGCTCAGCGCGTCCACGCAGTCGGTGCGCTCGGCGACGAGCGTGAATTCGCTCGTGAAGGCAAGGTCCGCCTCCGTGACGGTGTTGATGTCGAACGAGAAGAGATCCGTCGTGTTCGTCGCGATCTGGTTGCGGTCGACGGTGTCGATGAGCGGCTCGATGTAGCTGAGCCGCTTGAAGTAGGAGAAGTCGAGGCCCTGCACGTCCTCCCAGACGTCGAAGCGCTCCTCCTTGTACTGCTGGTCGCTGATGCCGCACACGTACATGTTCGCGCGGTCCGGCAGAAGCCGCACACCCGGTGCGCCCCAGCGATCACGNGCTGGTCGCTGATGCCGCACACGTACATGTTCGCGCGGTCCGGCAGAAGCCGCACACCCGGTGCGCCCCAGCGATCACGCGCGTACAGCACCGTGTTGAGCATCGACTCATACAGGAGGAAGTAGCCCATCCACTCGCTAATGATGATATCGACCTTCTCGTCCAGCTGCAGGTCCTCCACCTTGCCCTGAATAATGAAGATATTATCAAAGCCGTTGTCCTTCACGATCTGCTGCGCCTGCACCGCCACGCTGCTGCAGTCGATGCCAATCACCTTGCGTGCGCCGCACTTTGCAGCGAACATGGAGAGAATGCCAGTGCCACAGCCGACATCAAGCACCACTTTATCCTTAAAGAGATACGCGTTGCGCCAAATGGCGTCACGGTACGAAGTTGTGCGGTGGTAGTCCTTCAGCATCTCCATGTGGATGCCATAGTGGCTGTAGGAGTCAAAGTAGTAGTCCCCTGTTGCCGACATGGTTGTGGCGTCTCGTGTCGTCTGAAGTTGAGCCACAGCAGCAGCAGCAGATGGTCGCAGCAGTGACGATGCGAAGGAACGACGTGAATTGAATGTGCCGCAGGGTACACGTAGCCGGCAGCGCAATAGAAGCGACAGGGTGTCGGGGTAGTAGCGGTGGTATTGGTGGTGAAGTTTGCGCACGCCTTTTGGGGTTTATTTTTTATCTGGTCCTAGTCGTCGTCAGCAGCAACGCACTGTTTCCGTTTGTCACTTCTTTTTAACTCTCGCCCTACTTGTTTACGTCTTAATCTGTGGCCCGCGTTTGGCGAGCAGCGCCATTAAGAGACAAAACGAAGCAAAGTGTGGATGGATGTATGGATGTGTGTATGCATACATATATGTGTGGGGGCACTGCATATGCGTGTGCAGTGAGAAGCAAACATGCACCTGTGGCTGGTGCAGCGAGGCGGCTCCTGCCTCACCGCACACCGGCGCGGCACGTGCGTTAGCGCCGCATTACGCCCGCCTGCCGGCGGCGGCGTGAAAAAGAAAGAAAGAAAGAGAAAACATCGGGCGACCACCGCCCGCCCATGCACACACACACACACACACACACACACACTCTCTCCCCCACGCCATCACGCGCAGCCAGTCGCCTGCTTCATCTGCAGCAGCGTCTCTGCGTCGAATGTAGCGCACGCGGCCCACACCGACACCGTCTCCCGCAAAAACACCGCCACCTGCGAGTCCCGTGGTGCCGCGGCGGCGAGAACCGCAACCATGCGTAGTTCGTACGCCGCGAAGGCCGCCTTGTAGCGCAGCGGCCGCGACAGCGCCTCGTGCTCGGCCAGCAGCATGTTCGCGATGAACAAAAGCGTCCCCGCGGACTGCAGCGTGGCATCGTCCACAGCAGCAGCAGCTGCGGCGTCGCCGCGGAGGCGTGCGGCTCGGTGGGCCTCCTGCACCTGCGTGTCGCAGAGGAAGCAGAGCACGTACAGGAAGGTCTCCGTCATGGGCAGGCGCCGCAGCATGTGCTGCACGACGCCCTCACGGCATGCGCCGTCGCTCTGCGCACCATTCAGCAGCTCAACAAACTCGGCGAGGTCCTTCTCGGTGCGAAACATGTGCGGCATGTGCGGCCCACGCACATTACGCGCCGACGCGAAGTAATCGAGCAATGAGGCCCACAACGCTGCGGCTGCATTGCTGCCGCACCCCAGCGATGATGTCGAGTGCGGTCCTGCAGCTGCTGCTCCTGCGTTGCTGCTTTCCTGTTGCTGGTGTTTAGCCAATAGGCGAGTGTACTGGAGCCGCTCCGCACTTTCGTCCTTGGCGAAGAGAAAGCGGTGCTTCGGGTCGGTGACGTGCGCCACACAGTACTCTGCGAAGTTCGGGCTCGACAGCTGCATGCGCACAACGCTCGCCACCAGCTCGTTCGACGCGTCCATCGCGTGGCCACAACAACCGCGCACACACGCACACAAACACTCGTTGTATGTATCCGAGTACGTGAGCGTGGTGCCCAAGCAGGATTATATATATATATATATATATATAT